AGTAGCGGTAGTAGCAGCAGCGGAAGTATAAGCAGCATCGTCATCATCACTATCAGCAGCAGCTGCAGCGGCAGCAGCAGCAGCAGCAGCAGCAGTAGCAGCAGCAGCAGCAGCAGCAGCAGCAGCAGCAGCAACGGAGAGCAGCGACTGAAGAGGCACGAGAGAAGCAGCAGCCCCAGCAGCAGCAAAAAGGGGAAAAAGCAAAAAGGAATTTTAGAAAAGAAAAAAGAATTTGGAAAATAAAAAAGAAAAAATAAAAAAGAAACAATTTAAAGACAGCAGCAAATAAAGGCAGAAATGAAATCCCCAGAGGGAGCAGCAGCAGCAGCAGCAACAGCAGCAGCAGCAGCAGCAGCAGCAAGGAAGCCTTTAGTTGCGAAAGTGAGAAGCAAAAAGCAATCAAAGGAAATAAAAATAAATTAAAAAATTAAAATAAAAATATTTCTTGAAAATAAATTATAATAGTTTTAGTGCTGCTGCTGCTGCTGCAGTTCTTTTCTCCAGAGATATGATCTTGGACACTTTCTTTTTACTAAAACTTGCTGCTGCTACTGCTGCTGCTGCTGCTGCTGCTGCTGCTGCTGCTGCTGCTGCTGCTCGTAGTCTATGCTTCTGAATGCAGCAGCAGATTTTCTTTTTAAAATTTTGTCCAAACCCTAAACCCTAAACCCTAAACCCTAAACCCTAATTTGTTTGATCTCCAGGAGGCTCCAGTTTGGCGCCCTGATGACGTAGAGAAGATCGTGGCCGAGACCCTCGACGGTATATAAGCTGCTGCTGCTGTTCCTGCTGCTGCTGTTCCTGCTGCTGCTGCTGCTGCAGGTGTTGCTGCTGCTGCTGCTGCTGCTGGTGTTGCTGCTGCTGCTGTTGTTGCCGCTGCTGCTGCTCTTGCTGCTGCTGCTGCAGCCATGAGCTTCGTGTCATATAATTACTTTTGTTTATTTGTTTAATTGGATTACTGTTTTGCCTTTGCAGCTCTCTTGCATTTCAGCCTTTTCTGTTTGCTGCTGCTTCTGCTGCTGCTGCTGCTGCTGCTGCTGCTGCTTCTGCTGCTGCTGCTGCTGCTGCTTCTGCTGCTGCGTCACTGCTAGCAACTATCGCTCCCACCTACTGATTTTCTCCTTCATGTCCCGATTTATTATTTTATTTTTGAATTAAATAATTAATTTAATATTTTAATTTATAATTAAATTGATTTGTGTGGTTTTAAAGCAGCAATTGGGGAGTTTGCTGCGGCTCGTCCGGGGCTGGCGGCTGCGAGCGGTGGCTGGTTTTGGGGCTTCCGTGGGCAGTTTGGGGCCAAAAAAGGGGCCAAATGAATTAAAAAAAAGGAAAATAAATCAAAAATAATAAATTAAATTCATTTATTTCTTTTTTTGCGCATTTAGACCTCTTAAGAGGCCTCAACTACGAAGAAGTCCAGGCCAACAAGCTCCTGGACAAGATCTGCGACTGCTGCATGCAGCGCCTCGCGGGGCTGAAGGGTCCTTTTAAATTTGTCGGTGAGTTTTAAATTAAATTAAATTAAATTAAATTAAATTAAATTAAATTAAATTAAATTAAATTAAATTAAATTAAATTAAATTAAATTAAATTACTTTAATTAAATTAAATTAAATTAAAATTAAAATTTAATTCAATTTGAATTTCAACTCATTTCTTCTTCGGTACAATTTCGCGCAACTGGCGATCTTACAGTTCCCCACCATTTATTGCTACTTCTAATTTGCTGCTACTCAAAATTCCTGCTGCTGCTGCTGCTGCTGCTGCTGTTGCTGCTGCTGCTGCTGTCGCTGCTGCTGCTGCTGTTGCTGCTGCTGCTGCTGCTGCAGTTCATGCAGCAGTTGCAGAAAGAGGCGCGGGCAACCTAACGTTTGCTACTGCTGCTCAGTTTGTTCAAGGGCACGATGGTTAGGAAACCCTAAACCCTAAACCCTAAACCCTAAACCCTAAACCCCAAACCCTAAACCCTAAACCCTAAACCCTGCTAGACATTAAGATGTGAAGGAGCAAGCCGACGGAGGCGGCGCACAGCTAGTAGTCCTGTTGTTGCTGCTGCTGCTGCTGTTATGGTTTTTTGCTGCTGCTGCTGCTGCTGATACGGTTATTTGCTGCTGCTGCTGCTGCTGCTAACCAGCAGCTGCTTTTCTGCTGCTGCTGGTGCTGCCACTTCCAACCACCGCCATCGTTTTCAGTTGTTGCTTCTGCTGCAGCAGCTCCCTGCTGCCGTTGCTACTTCTGCTTTTGCTGCTGCTGCTGCTGCTGCTGCTGCTGCTGCTGCTGCTGCTGCTGCTGCTGCAGGTGTGGTGAGCTGCGTCTGGCCTGAAGAAAGAATCCACGACAGGGAGAGCCGCGGCATTAGAGCAGCAGTTCGAGTTTTCTGTTTTTCTTGTTGAGTTGCTGCAGCAGCAGCAGCAGCAAAACAAATTAAATTGTTGAATTGCTGCAGCAGCAAAACAAATTAAATTGTTGAATTGTTTTGCTGCAGCAGCAAAACAAGTTAAATTCAAAGTCATTTTAAGATACTCAAAAAGATAAAAAGTGAAGAGCTGGTACCTGCATGCCCTCTAGATGTGATGTTTGCTGCTGCTGCTGCTGCCGCTGCTGCTGGTGCTGTTGCTGCTGCAGCAGCAGCAAAAGCAGCAGCAGCAGCTGCTGCTGCTGCTGCCGCTGCTGCTGGTGCTGTTGCTGCTGCAGCAGCAGCAAAAGCAGCAGCAGCAGCTGCTGCTGCTGCAGCTCATCTCCTTTTTGCCTTTTTAGCTGCCAGTGGCCAGCCGCAGCTCACTGCCTCAAAGGAAGACACAAAACTGCTGCTGCTGCTTTGCTGCTGTGCATTTGAACTGCAGCAGCAGCTCTCATTTATTAATTAATTTATTACTTTTTATTTATTTATTTATTTATTTATTTATTTATTTATTTATTTATTGTTTGGAATTTATTTATTGATTTGTTTGGCTTTTGTTTGTTTGTTTCCTCCGTTCTTGTTTTGCTGCTGCTGCTGCTGCTGCTGCAGCTGAGGCTGTCTTGCGTGTCTGGGGGCAGCAGCAGCAGCAGCAGCAACAGCAGCAGCTTTTTTCTTCTTTTAATTTATTTATTTAATTGGCATTATGGAGTTACTTCAATTGTTTATTTCTTCGGATTTGTATTTAATGAAAGCACTTAAAACCGGAATTAAAGGAGTGAAGGAAAGAGCTGCGGGTTTCAGGTGTACATACACCGCAGGGGGCTGCAGCAGCCGGGAAGTGAAGAAGCGAAAACTGAGGACCATTTGTCATTTAAAATCTTTTTTTGTTATTTTATTTATTTTAAATTGAAAATAAATGGAGTTTTTCTTTTATTTATTTCAAATCGAGAAGAGATGAAGTTTCTCCGCGACAGAAGTGACTGAGACAGCTAGACACGAATCCGGCGAAGCAGCGCCGCGCATGCACTCCAACTGCTGCAATTGTTGCGGAAATGTGCATTAAATAAGTTTTAAAAACGAAAATAAATTAAAATAAATATTTAATGAAAGCAAATTCGAAAGAAGAGCATGCAGACGCGAGCTGCAGCTCGGGTGTCTGTACAGCTCGCGGGCCCCGGCGGCGCTGCATGCGCCGTTTGCGCTGTTTTGAGTTAAATTTTTAAACAAAACTGGACAAAAGCATTTATAATTGCATTTAATTTGTTTTTTGGCATTTAATTCCCCCAATCTCTCGCGATTGTGGCTCGTTTCGGCTTTTTTCGCTGCTGTTGTGCTGCTGCTGCTGCGCTGCTGCAGCAGCAGCTGCTGCTTGGCGCTGCTGCTGCAGCTGTCTGTACACCGGAGGCGTCTGCACACCTGAGGAGCTGCCTGTACACCTGAGGAGCTGCCTGTACACCTCAGCAGCAGCTCGAAGCAGCCCCGAAAGCCCCTCTTCTTCCCTCACTTCTTTTATTTTGTTTTTTTCTTTTTTAATTTTGCTGCAATGGCAGGAGCAGCGCAGCAGGAGAAATGAGCTTGTTGGTTCGGGTGTACAGACAGCTGCGCGCAGCAGCAGCGCGGCTCTGCCGCCGGCTGCTGCTGCGCACTGCTGCTGCTGCTGCGCTGCTGCTGCTGTGCTGCTGCTGCGTCTACCTGCACCTGCAGGGGGCGGCTCCGGGGGGCGGCGCGCAGCAGCAGCCGCTGCGGCAGCAGCTGCAGCAGCTGCTGCTGCTGCTGCAGCAGCGGCTGCGCCGCAACGCAGCAGCAGTAGTCCTCAGCATCTGCAGCAGCTTGCAGGCCCTCAGGGGCCCCCTGCTGCTGCTGCTGTCCATCTGGGGGGCCCTTCTTGTGGACTTTTGCTGCTTGCTGCTGCTGTGGTGGCAGCTGCTGCAGCCTGTTGCTGCTCCTGCTGCAGCTCGCGCGGCGCAGCTGTTCCTGCAGCTGCAGCCGCAGCAGCAGCTGCTGCTGGCAGCAGCAGCAGCAGCAGCACCTCTTGCCTACTTCCTCCGCCTCAGCCAGCGGCTGCTGCGGCTTCGTGCTGCAGCAGCAGCAGCATATAATTCCTTCACAGCTTATATGGTGGCGGGGGCCCCCCTGGCCCTCGCGCTGCTGCTGCACTGCTGCTGCTGCTTGCTGCTCGGCAGCAGCAGCCTCTGCTGCTGCCTCCAGGCCCTTTGGCTGCCGCTGCCGCTGCTGGGCACTGCAGCATTTGCTGCTGCTAACTTCGACGTATTCAGGGGCCTCCTCGCCCCCCCTGCTGCTGCTGCTGCTGCTGCTGCTGCTGCTGCGGGCCCAGCTGCTGCGGCCATTCAGGACGCACCCGCAGCAGCAGCAGCAGCAGCAGCAGCAGCAGCAGCGAGGACGGAGAAGAGACTCCGGGCCCTTCGCTCCCTTACCTTCTGGCTGACGCTGTGGCTCCTTCAGGGTTAGCTGCTGCTGCTGTTGCTGCTGCTGCTGCTGCTGCAGTTGCTTCCGCTGCGTTTGCTGCTGCTGCTGCTGCTGCTGTTTTTCGTGCTGCGGCTTTCTCTGTTGCCGCTGTTCCGGCCTGTTGCGCTGCTGCACTTGCTGCAGCAGCAGCAGCACTTAGCGCACTTCTCGCCCCTTGCGCTGCTGCACTTGCTGCTGCTGCAGCAGCAGCAGCAGCAAGATCAGCAGCAGTAGCAGCAGCAGCAGCAGCAGCAGCAGGAAGGTTGTATGTTGTGTCTGCGCAGGCGTCAGCAGCATGGGGAGCGACTTGCTGCTGCTGCTGCCGCTGCCGGGGAAGGCAAGAGCAGCAGCAGCAGCAGCACCGCTGCACTTCTTTTTGTCCTTTTTGCTGCTGTCGCTGCTGACGGGGGGCAGCAGCAGTTTGCTGCTGTTTGTGTACAGCCAGAAGGCAGTAAGAGCAGCAGCAGCAGCAGCAAACGCATGCAGTCGCCGCTGCCTGGGGCTGGAGCTGCTGCTGCAGCAGCAGCAGAAGCAGCAGCAGAAGCAAAAGCAGCACTTGCTGCTCCTCGCAGAGCAGCAGCAGCAGCAGCTCGCCGCAGCCGCAGCGCCACCCGCAGCAGCAGCAGCAGCAGCAGCAGCAAGAAGCAGCAGCAAACCAGTTGCTTCCACGCTGCAGCTGGCCAGGGCCTTTCGCCTAGATGAGGGAGAAGTGCTGCTGCTGCACTGCCTCTCTGACTATTCCCCTTTGGAGGAGACGCAGCAGCAGCAGCAGCAAGCAGCAGCAGCAAGCAGCAAGTCGCTGCTGCACAGGCTCAGCTCTGCAGCAGCAGCGGCCCTGCGGGTGGCCCCGGCGCCCAGCAGCAGCAGCAGCAGCAGCAGCAGCAGCAGCAGCAGCTCGCTGGGGGCCGTGCTGCTGCCCGTGGGGGGCTGGCGTTTGCTGCTGCAGCAGCTGCTGCAGCAGCTGGGGCTGGTTGTGTCTCCCTTCGTGCTGCACCTGACAGTGAGCGGGCTGCGCTACGCGCCGCAGCTGCTGCTGCTGCTGCTGCCTTCGTTCATTCTGGGGCCGCTGCTGCTGCTGCTGCTGCGGGCGTGGCCTGCTGCTGGGGCGCTGCTGTGCCTCAGCCGCAGCAGCAGCAGCAGCAGCAGCAGCGTTGCTGCTAGGGTTTACTGGCTTTGCTTCTTCTGGGCTGCTGCTGCTGCCAGCAGCATGCACTCTACTCTAAGCCAACATGCTGTGCTGCGGCTGCTGCCGCTGCAGCAAACCAGGCTGCTGCTGCTGCTCTGGGCTGTACAGACAGCAGCGCAGGTCCTCTCCACTGTTGCCAAGCTCGACCCCCCAGACCCCACACTGCAGCAGCAGCAGCAGCAGCAGCAGCAGCAGCAGAGCTGCCAGTCGTCTACGAAAACTGTAAGCAGCAGCAGCAGCAGCAGTAGCAGCAGCCGCAGCAACAGTGCGGCAGCGCGCCGTAGACGCTGACGCTGCGACGCTGTGAGGCGAGCAGCAGCAGCAGCAGCAGCAGCAGCAGCAGCAGCAGCAGCAGCAGCAGCAGCAGCGACGCAGCAAAAGTGACCTGCTGCTGCTGCAGCGCTGCAGCAGCAGCAGCTAAGACAACGGGAATTGCAGTGTATGTCGCTAAAGCCAATCAACGAAACAGGCAGTAGCAGCAGCAGCAGCAGTTGCTGCTGCAGCTTTGCTGCTGCTGCTGCTGCTGCTCGTCGGCGGTGTTCGGTTGAAATGATGCATGCAGGCTGCTGAGGTGTACGTACACCCCACGGCCCGCCAAATGCAGGAAAGCAAAAATAGACAGATTAGAAAAGTCAAATAAATAAAAGCAGCAAATAGAAAAAGATAATTAGAATTAAAAGAAAGAAATAATAAAAAGAAAAAGAAATAAAAAGAAAAAGAATAGAAGAAGCAAAGAAGCTGCGAGACGCGAAAGGCAAAGACAAGAAAAAGAGAAATTAAAAAGAATTGACAGAAGATGTTAAAGACAATTAAAGACAAAAAGAAATAAAAGAAATAAAAAGAAAAAAGAAATAAAAAGAAAAAAGAAATAAAAAGAAATGAAAAAAGAAAAAATGAAAAGAAACCACGAGAAAGGGAAGCAACGCGCAGCAGCAGCAGCAGCAGCAGCAGCAGCAGCAAGAGACAAATAGCAGCAGCAGCAGCAGACAAGAAGCAGCAGCAAGAGAGCCCACCAGCAGCAGCAGGAGACAAACAAGAAGCAAAGAAAGAGACACAAAAGAAACAGCCTGCTGCTGCTGCTGCTGCTGCTGCTGCTGCGGAGCAGCAGCAGCTGCAGCAGCAGCGCAGCAGCACCAGAGGCGGCGGGCACAGGGGGCGCCACTCGGCCAATTTGGCCGATTTTTTTCGCGTTTTTTAATTAAAATAAAATAAAATAAAATAAAATAAAATAAATATTTTATTTTCATTTAATATCTCTCTGCCGCCTGTCGTGGCTCCGAGCTTTTTGATCCAAAGCTGACAAAAACTTTTCCGGATCCACTCGAGCGTCGAAGCGGAAGGAGTCCTGGTCTGCGGTGTACAGACACCCCAGCAGCAGCAGCAGCAGCAGCAGCAGCAGCAATGCACAGTGCACGGACACCGCAGCAGCGGCAGCAACGCACAGTGTACAGACAACGCAGCAGCAGCAGCAGCAGCGGCAGCAACGCAGAGTGTACAGACACGGAAGTAGCAGCAGCAGCAGCAGCAGCGTAGAGTGTACGGACACCCCGAACAGCAGCAGCAGAAGCGGAAATGCAGAGTGTATAAACACCACAGCAGCAGCAGCAGCAGCAGCAGCAGCAACACAGAGTGTACAGACACCCCAAACAGCAGCAGCAACAGCAGAAAAACAAAATGTACAGACACCCCAAACACCAGAAGCAGCGCGAAATGCAGAGAGAAAAGGCCAGCAGCAGCAGCAGCAACAGCAACGGCAGACGAGCAGCAGCAGAAGAAACAGCAGCAGCAGCAGCAGCAGCAGCAGCAGCAGCAGCAAAAGCTCACGTTTTTGCTCATTCAGGTCCGCACTGCCTCCCTTCCTGCGCTTCCTCCGTGCTGCAGCAGCGCAGCAAACAGCAACAGCGGGAAATTTCAGCAGCAGCAGCAGCAGCAGCCCGAAACAGCAGCAGCAGCCCGAAACAGCAGCAGCAGCAGTCAGAATCAGCAGCAGCACTGGAAACAACAGCAGCAACAGCTCCAGCAGCAGGAGAAGCAACAAAAGCAGCAGCAGCAGCAGCAGCAGCAGCAAACTCGCGCCCGCAGCAGCAAAACCCCAACAGCAGCAGCAGCAGCAAAACCGCGCCTGCAGCAGCAAAACCACAACCACAACAGCAACAGCAACAGCAGCAGCAGCAGCAGCAGCAGCAGCAGCAGCAGCTTGCCCTGGTTGTTGGTGTCCGGGTAGCTGGGCATGAGTTCTGTGGGCTGGGGCTTCGGACTTTCTTTGAAATAGTTGTGCTGCAGTGCAGCAGCAGCAGACAGCCGCTGCTCCGGGTCTGGCCGCAGCAGCTGCTGCAGCAGGTCCAGACCCAAGTCCGACAGCACCCCGCCATTCTGCATGCACAGCAGCAGCAAAACTCCAATTAATTAATTAATTAATTAATTAATTAATTAATTATTTATTTATTTATTTATTTATTTATTTATTTGTTTGTTTGGGTTTTTGGAGTCAAGTAGTTGCTTCGGGAAGAACAGCAAAAAAGGAAAAGTAACGGCCATGCAGCAACGCAGACAGCAGAAGTGCAGCAGAAGCAGCGATAGCAGCAGCAGCAGCAGCAGCAGCAGCAGCAGCAGCAGCAGCAGCAACAGCAACAAAAACAACAACAACAGAAACAACAAAGCAACAAAAACAACAACAGCAACAGAAACAACAGCAACCACAACAGCAACAAGAGCAACAACCACAACAGCAACAACAACAAAGCAACACCAAAGCAGCAGCAGCAGCAGCAGCAGCAGCAGCAGCAGCAGCAGCAGACCCCCATGGTGAGGTGTTTGGAGGGGGGCGGGAAAACTTCGCGCCAAGAAGGCGGGCAGTTCGGCAGCCGCGGAAGAGCTCTGGACTTCACCAGCGGCAGCTCATTGAAGCCCGGCCAAGTTTCTTCAGACTGAGTCCCTGAGCAGCAGCAGCAGCAGCAGCGCAGCAGCAGCAGCAGCGCAGCAGCAGCAGCGCCAGGTGCAGGTGCAGCGGCAGCAGGTGGAGCGGCACTAGCAGCCGCAGTAGTTGCAGCAGGAGCAGCAGTGGCAGCAGCACAGCAGTGGCAGCAGCAGCCGCCGCAGCAGCAGCAGCAGCAGCGCAGCAGCAGCAGCAGCGCAGCAGCAGCAGCAGCGCAGCAGCAGCAGCAGCAGCGTCGGCTGGCTGTCCGCGTCAGTGTGGCTTCTCTTGAACTGCTGCAGCTGCTTCTGGGTTTGTTTTGTTCGCTTTTTCTGTTTAAATTATTTAAATTATGTTTTAAAAATTAAATTTAAAATTAAAAATTATATTTTAAAATTAAAATTAAATTTTAGATTTATTTTAATTTCATTTTCTCACCACAAAGTCGCCAAATTTTGCTCAGAGTGTCAAATTCGCCTTGGCCAGCAAACAGCGGCCGACGCAGCAGCAGCTCCCCGAAGATGCAGCCTGCAGCACAGCAGCAGCAGCAGCAGCAGCAGCAGCAGCAGCAGCAGCAGCAGCAGCAGCAACAACAGCAGCAGCACAACAGATAAGTGAATTCGAGCAACTGACTGAACTGAATAATTCATTCGCTTGCTCTCTAATACAAAGGTAAACGCTGACACAAGCTGGAGAAGCAGCAGCAGCAGCAGCAGCAGCAGCAGCAGCAGCAACGCTGCGAGTTCACAGGCACACAAGTTTTTTCCGCATTAAACAAGCAGCACATTTCTCTACCTATTTCTGCTGCTGCTGCTGCTGCTGCTGCTGCTGCTCGTCGTACTAATCCTACCACTGCCACCCCTGCTGCAGCTGCAGCAGCTGCTATTGCTGCTGCTGTTGCTGCTCGCACTACTCCTAAGCTCCAGCCGCTGCTGCTGCAGCTACGCTGCTGCTGCAGCTGCTGCAGCTACGCTGCTGCTGCAGCTGCTGCAGCTTCCTTCCTCACTGCCCGTACAGCGAAGCCTACAGC